TTTATTATCCCTACCTCTGAGGAAAGCATATTAAGAAGGCATTTACTTCTTTATAATGCACAAGGAATTACAGAACCAGAAGCCACAATAAAAAATGTGAGGTATTAAGAGTGTCTGATATTGGTCATCCATGTCTGGTATTTCTATGACACTGTTGGATTTATCCAGGTGATATTAGTCAGTTAAAGAAATTTGTAGTCCAATTTAAACAACTCATTAATAAAATGAATCAGGATAGATCTATGTTAACAAAGGACCTCAGATTTATGGAACAAGATTATTTATAAAAACACATCTCTGGCTATTTTTACAATATATTTTACTTTGCTACTTTTTTCAACCTTTAAGAGAGGAATGGGAAATATTAATTAAATGGATAAGAGATTTATAATAAATTCCAGTCCTGATTCTTCAATTCTTCATCTATTTAACAATTTGCTGGCTGGGCCCTCTGTGCCATATTGTGACAGATAGAAACAAGCAAAGGGAAGAAATAATCATAAATAGACATGATACCAAAACTCACTCACTTCAGTGAAGTTGGAAAAACCTAAAACTCACTTTTCAAATCATATATATTTAAGATTCAGAGAATTTTACAGATTTTATTTATTTAACCTCCCTGCAGAGCTGTAATCTGACAGGACTCATTTTCATCATTGAAATATACAAACTTTATAATAAGATAAAATGCTATTTATTTTACCACCGAAACATCAATAAATTATTTGCCATTACTTTAATTAAGGTAACAGGAACCAGTATCATATTTTGTCATTTATTATAATATTTGGAGGTTGAAGAAAATCCATTCATGGGATTTTTTTTAAAAGCTATCAAATTTGAGGAAAACCCAAATTCCTAAGGGAAAAAAAACAAAGAAGAAGTTGATGCAACAGCTTACATGAATATTCATTCAGTTTTTGTCAAAGACCTAAATTTATTAAACACCAGGAATAACAGTTTATGCAGTCAGACCCGTTGAAGTATTTTTAGTGGGAAAAAAAATGGTGCAAAACAGGAAAGCCAACATTTCCACAATGTGGATTGTTCTCCTTTAAAAGTTCATTTATCTCCAGTTACGTTTATAGCCACATCTTAATTATCTGACCAAATGAAAGTGAATTATGGAAAATCAACATCACATATCTCTACTTTGCAATATGATGCATAGGAAGTGCATGTATATAAAATCAGGTACAAAAAAATCGCATCTCCAAATCAGCACACCAATCTTGAATCAGGCAAATGAAATGCACTTGGACAAAAGTAAGAGGCTGAAAGCAGGGCTTCACGCATGTTGCATAGACTCATGATATGTTTCCCAGTTTTTGAAAGTGAATTCAAAAATAAAGAAATAAAAGGAAAACAGCTATTTTCAAATTAAATAACATAGTGTGTAATTATGTTTTTGGAGAACATCTTGTGGAATTAATAAAGCACTTGTGTAAGTCATATTTGAATTCACTTTATCAAAAAATATAATTATTTATTAAAATAACTTGATTTGAAACATCCTGAAACATCTTGTACGTCTTGAAACATCTCATTCCTTTACTACAATGTGTCTCCCCATTTGAATGTAAAACAAAGGTTGATATTCAGGTGATAGGATCTGATGTGCCAGTAAATAGGAGTTTTTAATATATGGATAAATGTCAGTCCTGGCTTTTAAAGAGCCTCCTCCAGGGGCCTCCCAGGCATTGTGGAGTCCTATACTTTCAAGATCCAGTATCTAGAGTTATACTGAGGGCCAACAGGAAGCCCCAGGTCCCTGCCTCCATATCATCACTACCTTCTCTTATGATTCATCAATGGCCATTGTTAAATATTATAAGTATGACCACTGAGGAGACCTAGTCTTCTTTTGAAATGTTTTTGTTTTCCCATGGAGCTGTTGTATATTAAACATACGTAAGAAATCCATCTTTATCATTTTACTTAGTGTGGTTGGACTTTTTGTTGTTGTTTCATTAGCAGATTTCGGGTGCAAATATCTTTTAAGCACTGAACCAGCAGATCAGAAGCATTCTGCATATTTAGGGAGAACTGCCTGTGGACAGCTATAGGACAAGTGAACGGCAAAGTGGTTCACTTAAACTATTTTCCTTTTTTTTTTTTTTGCTGTTATAAATAAGACTTGACATGAATATCATACTTTTTTGAGATTATTCATTCAAATTGTAAAGGGTCCTATGAAGATTTCTAAACAGGGAAAGTAAAATATGACTAATCACTTCAAAAATAATCTGTGGATGCATTAAATTTGAATTAAAGGACATAAGGGTTGGCATGCAATTAAATAAATCAGTAAAGTCAAATACTAAAGACCAAATTATGACATAAGCAGTGTATATAAAATCTGTAGCAAAACAACAGAAATAATCATTCTTTATCATGTTCAATATATATTTTTTCTATTCATCAGTTTATCACATTCACGGAAGTGATTATTTATGCATGTTGACATTTTTTCGATATAGGTTATTCAGAATTGCTATGATAATTCTTTAATGTTTCTATCATAAAATTTTATTTTCTTTCCCATTTATTTGTTTTTGTAGCATATATGAAATTGAATTCCTAACAGAGATGTATGCAAGTAATTCATCTATGGGTCTGTAAAGCCTGCTTGAGTCACAAAGTTTTAACTGTGATAGACCAGACTACTATTTGAAGGACAGACTTCTGTAGAATTCAGCATTTCTGGAGATGGTGGTAAGTAGATTTATAGTAATTCTGATTTTTAAAATTTATTTTCTAAGAATACACATTGAATATTTAAAAAGTACCCATTTATTAAATCAAACTTTAGAGAGTGTGTATATGATTCAATGGCAATTAAATATATTATATGATTTCACTTTATTTATATTAAACATACCATGATTAGTAAGCTTTCAGGTATTATATGTGTGCCTGAGTATGAGAACAACTCAGAATGGCATAATTTGGGTCATAAAAGGGCCTGTGATTTTAAAGCGTTTAAAAAGATTTTCCTATTCTAAAACGAGAACATATTCCATAAAATTTGAGAGATCAAATTTAGAGAAGTAAGCCTCAATACTAAAAGACATCCTAGAGCCTAACAGGTAGAAAGAGTTGATATAAAGTGTGCAGTTATGTAAGCCAGTTTTTTTTTTATCACTCTAATAGAAGAAAACATTTTTCTTAACTCAAGTTAGGAAATTATTATACATTTTTATATATCTTTATATAAAAAGTTACAAGTAGCAAGCATATGACACAAAGAAATGGAAGCGTAACAGCAGTATTTAGAATGCATGCTTTTTACAATGTGTCTAATAAAAAGGATATTTTTCAAATTCAAATATCCAGTACTGACATGCAGGGTATTTTTTCAAACTGTCAATTCAGTCATATTGCTAAGTGCTTAAATCAAAAAACATTTCTATTGACGGGTATGAATGGTAAAATACCTGATTTCAAAAACTCTTTCTGAAACTTAGTATCTTCCTTTGATATAAAACAAAAAGGAAATTGGGGATATTTGGGAAAAACAAAAAAATTGAGATGTTTCTTATTGCAATCTAGTTTTTTTTACTCATGACTCTTGGCTGCATTTAATCATAATACAACAACAGGTGTTTATAGTCCATAAAACCTCTAGCTGGTGCTTCCATGGTCCATATATTCACTTCGTAACTGTAGCATGTTCAAAATCCCTCAGGAACGCACTATTCTCAAGCAGTCTATCTAATGAAAACAATGTACATGTAACACAAAGTTCATCCAAATTCCTGTTGTTCACATATCACACAACATACAATTATACAACAAGGACATAAAACAACATAGAAACAAAGTGAAACTAACAGTAAAAAGAAAAAGTGGGGTAGTCTTAATCAGGAACTAATTTCTTCTTCAAGTTTCCAGTAAATCTCAAAATGTATTTAAAAACTAAGGAGCACTTGGTGGCCAGCAACCAAATTACGAAATGAACATATCATTGTGCAGCGGGGATGTCTTGCCGAAGGGATAACAAATGTCTGTAATTCTTAAGTTTGGATAAAGGCAGTGGAATGAATTTAGAAATATGTCCACTTTTCACAATTCACTATAGAATTTTCGTTTCACAGTCCCCATGTTTGTATAAATAGTTCTTCTCTGAAAATAAAACACAGTTAAAACATTTTCTCCCAATGAAAAACGCATACAAATACACCAATTTATCAAGGTAACATAGAGCATGGAAATGCATTCACCTAATTCAAGAATAGTTGATAAGCTTGAAGTGTTTTGAAGAGTTTAGCTGTCAAGCAAATTTAATTGGAGACAAATTAGTCTAATATAGATATAGATTATCAAGTGCTAAGAGTAAAGCTCTCATGGCATTTGATTGCAAAATAGATGTACACATAGACAACTAGTATTTATGGAACATTTTACATTGTTAAGCATTCAAATTTGATATCATAGAATTTGGCATAACATGCTGCATTTAATTTTCATGAAATAAGCTACATATTCATGCAAAAATAAAGGGTGCACAGATTGTAAAAGTACCACCAAATAGTTAGTGTGAGTCTGAGTAGAATATTGCCAAATTAAATAAGAAAATTACCAGCTTTATATGTTGACTTCAGTTATATTGAGACAATATTCAATTGTTTTTGTTATGAAAAACTTGCATTTCTTCTGATATTTTTGAAAAACGTTTACTAGTTTTTTGTATTTTAACCTTAAAACATGTAAAATTTAACTTGCTAATTTAACATCCTTTTTTAAAATAACATTCTAGTACAATGCCTGATGGTAAGAATATGAACATTTATTTTAAAGATATGTATGCTAAAAATCATCACTCCATCAGCATTGAATCCAGTATATTTCTGATTATGAAATATTATGAAACACTTATCTCAAGAGATAATGAATAAATATCACATTCCCTAAAAAAATCTACAAGACAATTGCAACAAAACAAAACAAAACAGAATACAACAAGGTGGGAGAAGGAACCAAGGGCATTCGCTTACCTTGAATTTTCTTTTTAGACCCTAGTTGTGTTGTATTCAGATTCATGTTTGCTTAGAGACCCAATGAGGCAGAACCTGGAATGTTATGGCTATTTCATTCAACAAAGTAATATTTGCACAAAAAATAAATATGCATACAAATATTTACTTAAGAGCATTCCTAAAAATTCGTAAAACTGTGGAAATAGATTTTTTCCATCAGCATGCAAAAATATTAAATCAACTGAAAATATTCTAGGTTTTGAGGATGCATAATGAATTGAGAAAGTATGTCCATTTATAAAACAAACTAAATGCTAGTAAACATGCAAAACAAAGCATATGTATTTTGGATTTGGGGGTTTAAAATAGGTTTTTTTTTTTCTAAGTTAAATTTTCTTTCCCCAAAATTTTTACCAATTTTAGGGCTAATAATACAATACAGATAATATTATCTTTATGTTAAAAGGAAAATGAATCAAATGTTTCTACTATTTTTTCTACATTTAAATATAAATGTTTAGTATTTTAGCATACCATACTGTTATATGCAGTTTGTAATGTAAGTATCATGTGATATGTGGAAAAAAGGATTTCAGTGTTTTCATTTTAATACAAAAATATAATACAGTATATTGCAAAATATGTTATTTTTACATTAAAATTATTTAATGAGATGGGTTAACCATCTTGGTAAGGCAGTTATTTCCAAATATCATTTCATATCTGAAAATATATTAAGTATTGATGAGATCAAAGTTCATGACTACGTGGAAGCAAATGAGCAAGACAAATTTATAATATAAATTAAAACTGTACTTTTTGCAGAAATAAATACTATATATGTATAGAAATAAATGAAATCTCTTTGGTCTGTGTGTGCTCACACACAAACACCTGTGTATATAAACAGGAGTTAGGAAGGCTATGGATAGCCCCGGAAAAGGAAAGGGAAAGGAAAAGCTTGAGACACTACGGTTTAAATCATTAATAAAAAGAGAAACTGAAATGTGAAGATCAAATAGAACACAATACTCTGGAGGCATTTCAGTCCTCAGGTTATAGGTGTCATCAAATAATCTATTGATACTGACCGCTGGACGGCTTTGTCATGTCGGGACAGCCTGTGACTTGTCGTCGGCACCTCCTCGATCTCGTCGATGTCACAGGCATCTGCGGCATCGTGCGAGTAGTTGTGTTTCATGACAAGGATATTTCTTCTGTTCATGGGTGGGATAAGGGGTTTGACGGGCTGCGGAGGCATCTCTGTCAAGACAGAAGCATCTCTTGTGCTGAGGTTACTGCGGCTGCCTTTCGTACTGGACACTTGTGACCCACAGTGATGGTCATGAACGCATTTGGAAGAGGATCTCCGCAGTTTATGGTAGTTTTCAAAGTCATCTGCCACATCTGCAAAGTCAGCTGTAGCTCCTGTCCCTCTTAGAGTACACAACTCATAATGAGGAGGTTCAAACACCTCCTGGAAAACTGTCTGGTCAAAGTCCGATTTCCTTTGGACATATTTTTTACGAGGCTGTTTGATCTGCACAATGACAGAGATGATAATAAGGATGATCACAATGCAGGAAGTCACACCAATGACGGTCCCACTGGTGTTGGTGAGCTGGTCTAGCAGGCTGGCTTTCCTCTTCTCTACAGGTTAGGAGAGTGAAAACAACAAACAAAACAAGAAACAATCCACCACGCATTAATATGGTAGTCAAAGCTCACCAAAAGGAGTACACCGAGCAGACTATTGGTACAGGCTTAAAGTAACATGAACAAATCTCTAAAAATAAACAAGAAGTGTCCCTTTTCACAAGGGCCCTATCTTCTAGGCTTCGAGACAGACCTCCCATTGCCCAGCATCCCTACTTTCAACATATGTTTGAAAAAGTTCTTAAAAGACCTTTAGCATGACATTTGGAAATAAATTAGTAATGTGAAAAACAGTAAATTATTTTTCTCCTCATAAGTATGAGAAAACATCCAAAACTCGATGAGTGGGAACACGACCTTACCTATATTGTTTTGAATTTATTCCTGACTTAAATAACTGAACTCACAGTAATACCAATATTCTGATACCAAAAGGTAATTAAATTTCATGACAGACACTTCTGGAATGGTGTATGAGTCCGTCTGTGGGCCTTTTTCCCAATGAAACAACCACAACTGGTAAAAATGATTAAAAATTGATAGATAGATGATAGATAGATAGATAGATAGATAGATAGATAGATAGATAGATAGATAGAGTTTCTGGAAATTGTCCTAATGGAAACAGCAAATGCAAGTACATTTATTCAAGAAAATTTACTAAATTTCTTTAATAACAGTGAGAGTCTGTCCTTTAAACCTGTTCCCCGACCCCCACCCCAATTCGTCATGATGGAAGCTTACTTAGGGAGGTTTCAGACAATGGCATAGGGCTTCCTCTCCCTAACGCTCCCCACCTAGAGCTACAGTACCTCCCCAAGTGGAGCAAACCACAAGCATTTCTCACCACCCCCTGAATCCATAGTGCAGGTAGGTACTCTATTCTAGGCAGGAGATGATGAGTTATCAAGGGCTCCATTCCTCCTCCCAGCCCCCATTGGTAGGATGGACACTCTACACCAGGTGCAGCAGGCTGAGAATGCGTGTCTCTGATCACCCTTGCCCAAGATCACTCATAGAGTTGATCTGCCTGGAGAGGCAAGCTGAGAAGACCAGAAGTTACCACCCTCATCGAGTACCCTATTCGTAAAGCAGGGGTGTTACTCCAAGAAAAGTCAGTCACTATCCCTGCCTCCTTTCAGCACCTAGAGCAGTAATGCAGAGGTTTTGCCCATGAAGGGAGGCAGGCCACAAGAACAGAAAAAGCACTGTAGCTTTCTCCAAAGAAAGTTACATTTTTTGGAACAGTGTGAAGAATTTCAAGCCTAAGGAAATCTCAAAACAACAGACATTTTCTAGTAAGCAATTAAGAGGAGACTGTCAAGCTCTTCAGTACCAACAAGCCAGACCTTAGAACACGTAGAAGTTTAACATAAAATACCAAGAAAATAACAGGTAAAGAAAGCCCTCTTAGTTTAGAACAAATCACAAAAGCTAGACTAGAGACTAACTCCTAACAGAATTGAATTTAATTGGATCAGACCTTGGAAAAATTTATACTCCTGGGAACTGTCCAAAATAACAGAACAATTATTCAGCAATTAGTAGAGACTAATAGCTGGGTGTGATACCAACAAAGACAGACAGACAGACAGAACAGGAAAAGGGTGGTCAGAGAGCACCTTACTAAATCATGACCATCTGAGGCTATGGTACGCTTGCCCACAGCATGGTCTCCATGCAGCAACATCAGGGACAGACATCACGGAAACAGGCCAGCCAAGTTACAAACACTTACGAACACACAAACAAACCAACAAAAAGTGATAGCAGCAACAAGCCCCGGGGAGGGAGGAACTAGTATCCAGAATTGCTACAATACATTATCTAACATGACGTTTCCAACAAAACATCCCAAGGCATGTAAACAAACAGGAGAATGCAATTCATACATACACTAGAGGCAAAAAGCCTTGGAGAGGGCCAGATGTCAAACTTAGCAGACACTGATTTCAAAGCAGCTGTTATAAATATGTTCGAGGAACTAAAGGAAACAATGGTTAAAGAAGTAAAGAAATATAGGAGGATAAAGCCTCATCACATGCAGAATAGCAATGAAGAAACAAAAATTACAAAAAAGAAAAAAATGAAAAATCTAGAATTGAATGGCACAGTCCCTGAAATAAAAACTTCATTTGAGTGACTCAGCAGTACATTTCAGCTGGAAGAAGAAAGTAACAGCAAACTTGCAGAGAGATGAAGGAAAATTATGCAATCTGAAGAAGACTCAGATAAAAAGATGCAGAAAAATGAACAGAGCCTCGGAAAAATGAGGCAAACCATCAACGGCACCAACATAATGGATGAGAGTATAAGGAGAGAAAGTAACAGAAAAATATTCAAATAAATAAATAAATAAAAGGTGAAAACTTCCTAAATTTGATGAACAAATTTCACATCTAAGAATTCCAACAAATTCCAAATAAGAGAAATGAAATGATACCCACACTCTGACATAAAAGATTAAAAATGTTGCAAGAGAAAATCTTGAAAGCATCAAGGGAAAAATAACTCCTCACATAGAAAGGAACCCCAATCAGATTAACAGCTGATTTATCATCAGAAATTTTGGAGGCCAGAAGACAGAGGCATGACATATTCAAAATGCTGCAGGCAAAAAAAAAAAAAAAAAAAAAACCAAAAACCGTTGATCGGAAACCTAATATCCAGCATGACTAACTTTCAAAAATGGGGATAAAATAGACATTTCCAGATAAACAAAAATAAAGATAATTTAATGCCGAAAGAATGCCTTAAAAGAAATATTAAAAGAAATTCTTGGGACTGAAAGTAAGTGACTTTAGACAGTAATTCAAACCTATGTGAAAAAATTAAATAGACAGTAAATTAAAGAGGCAAATAAATATTGCCAATAAAGGCAATTATACACATAATTACAAAGGACTGTTAAGTTGCATTTATCTTCAGCGTCCTTCCCTTAACTTTTTAAAAGAGTAATGTCATATGTATAAAATTGTATTTTTGGGTGTATAACTTAAAGAAATATTATACATTTGGTATTAACAATACAAGTGAGGTAGATAGGAGCAAAACTGTCCTGGAATAAGGAAGTGACATCAGATGGGACTGTGAATCCACAAAAACAGAGGAAGAGAATCAGAAATGGTAAAGAAGAAGGGTTATATAATGAACTACATGAATATACACTTGTTCTAAAATTATATAAAGTAATAATTACAGCAATGTATTCTTTGATTTGTAACATATATAAAAATAATATGGAAAAAAGTAATAGGTAAAAAGAAAGAACAGAGCTAGATTAAAATAATGTTACTAGGATTAAATTAGTATAAATCTGAAATACATTTTGAGAAGTTAGGCTGTATGTTGTAAGCCCTAAAATAACCATTAAGAAAATAACTCAAAAGATACATTAAAAATCACTGAAGGAATTAAAATGCTACACTAGAATGTATTCACTCTTTGCAAAAGAGGCCAATAAAGGAAGAAAAGAGGAACAAAAATACATGGGACATAGAGTGGAAAAGAAGTAAAGTGGCACATGTCAATCCGACTATACATCAATATCAGCATCAAATGTGAGTGGATTAAACAATCCAATGAAAAGGCAAATATTTTCAGACTGGATCAAAAAATAAGATCCAGCTGTATACTGTCTACAGAAGACATACTCTATATTGAAAGATATAGATGGACCGAAAGCAAACGGATGTAAAAAGACTGAACATACAAACTGCATTGAGGAGAAAGCTGTAGTGGATGTGCTAAAATTAGACAAAATAAAGCAAAAAGTTATTAAAAATAAGAAGATAATTTTATAATGATCAATAAGAAAGCCAAGCCATCAGAAAAATACAATTTCAAACATACATGGACCTAACAACTAAGCTCAAAAATACATAAAATGGAAACTTACAGAAGTGAAGAAAGAAGCAGAAAATTCAACCATAACAGTTGGAGAATTCAAGAGGTACTTTCAAAAAATAGATAAAACACGGTAGAAAATGAGAACAGAAACAGAAGTCTTGAACAATGCTGTAAACCTACATCTCTAGAACAATCCACCTAACAATGGCAACAAGCATTCTTTTCAAGGGCACATAGGGCATTTTTTAGGATACACCATATGTTAATTCATAGAACTAACTCTAATAAACTGCAGGCAGAACTTGTTATATTGCACTTCACCTTGTTGCACTTCACAGACACTGTGTTTTTTAACAATTGAAGGTTTGTGGCAACTCTGCATCGAGCAAGTCTATCAGCACCCTTTTTCTAACAGCATTTGCTCACTTTGTGTCTCTGTGTCACATTTTGATAATTCTTGCAATATTCCAAACTTTTTCATTATTAATATATTTGTTATGGTGATCTGTGACCAGAGATTTTGACTTGCTGAACGGGTTTGTGGTGGTTAGCACTTTTAGCAATATTTTTTAATTAAGCTATATAGTACATTGCTTCTAAGGACATACTGTATCACACCCTTAATTGACGACAGTATAGTGTAAAAAACTTTTAGATCTTCTAGGAAAACAAAAAATTCATTTGACTCACTTTATTGTGATATTAGCTTTATTTTGGTGGTCTGGAATTGAACCCACAGTGAGGTGAGCCTGTCACAACGATTGAAATGGTAAAGGTGTGTTCCCTTCGCAAAAGAGAATGAATTTGAAATCAAAATAGTGGTCTTGCCATCTGGAGAAGATAAACATGGAAGCTCATAAAGCATATCCATCCACATTCTCTTCACTTCTCTCTTATGTCAAATGGTCCTTATATGTGGGAACAAATCCCATTGGGCAAATAAAGCTTATGACTACCAATTATTAACAGTGCCGATTTAAGATTCTACTACACAAATTACTTAATCTCCCATCCATTCAAAAGTGGTTCCTTGAATAATCACCTACTCCCACCATCAAACTAATCAAGGCTGCATATGCCTTTCTCCTTGACCATGAACCATGGCTACTGTGACAATGCCTCTTGGCTTCTATCCTCAGAAGACATTTTAATAGACAATACTGGACTTTAAGCATGAAAGAGTTAATTGCCTGTTCCTTTCCCTTTGCAAATCAGTTAATATTGAATCTGAATAAAGGAATATGCTTGGCATTTTTCAACTTAACTAAAACATGCAACATTCATAACCAAGCCACAGATTGCTATCTACATAAACAAACCTTTGTGTACAGGCTAGAGAAGGGAGCTGGGGCATTGGAACCTATTTTCATTGGAAATGAAGAAAAGCATTTTGGTAGCAAAACTGAAGTCAAGTTAAGTGGCTGGAAGTGGCTGGAAGTACCTGAAAGGCACAAATGTTCCTTCAATTCACTTTCCCTCTAGAGTATGTGCACACAGCCCAGTGAAGACAGACTGGAATAAATGAGCGGTGCAGGCATCAGGTCTGATAGGAAAAACACTGCACTAAAAGCTTCATTTCCTCTCCATGGCTCTGCAGCCTCTAATAAGATGTCTTTAATGAGCATTCAAGTGTTAAAGATTCTCTACTATACATTAATGAGTAAGGAAACTTCTGGCAAAAGCAAAGAAAGACATTTACACTTGATTACAAAATATACAGGAGGTTCGACAAAGCCCATATACACGTCAATTCTTCAGTCTGTCTGATACATCTCCACATTGTAATAAACCTCTTCCCACTCTACAAGCAGAGAACTTTTACAAATTTTTGATCATTACCTTTACAATGATTCTCGTCCCAAGGATACACACAGTTCTGGAGTCCATTGCAGACTAGTGTATTGTTAATACACATGTTACTATGGCAGAAGAATGTATTGCCTTCACAGGGAGCTAAAAATAAGAAGAAAAGGAAAATGAAGAAAAAAGTTAGACCTGATATTCAGTAGTAAATCACTCATATTACAAATCTAAAAACAAAAAGATTAGCATGATAATTTTCCATCAAATTGAGATAAATGACCCGACATTCCGTTCTAAGAAGTATTGCAATTGTGGTAATTATTTCTTGTGTTGCTAACAGAGCTGGCACTTCTCTAGACGTGCTCAGTTTATAAAACTGGCACAGGAGGGTTTCCATCATAAAAATGAAGTACATTATCTATATGGGTTCTTTTTTTTTTTTCGACTTGGTGCATTCATTTAACAAAAATTAAGTGCCTACCACATGCACAACATTATGCTTTACACTGAAATTCTGTCTGTACAAATATAGTTATACTGTGCAAAAAGTCTTAAGTAAATTAACATTGAAATAATTTTATAAAGCATGGGCTTACAAAATACTAATGAAGAAAGTATATATTAAACAAATCCCTATAGCATTATTTAAGCATATGAACAAAACAAAGAATGTCATGGAAATTCAGAACAAGGGAAAATTAATCCTAAACAACATAAGAAAATATATATTATTCTCATCAACATTTAACATATACATGGTGATGAAATTAGCCTACTTTTCATGTGTTTCACACGTGCTAGTAACTTTAGGTACGGTGGTCCATGATCTCCAGATTAGGATGTACATTCAGGGCACTGGGACGAAAACTAACAACCCACAGAGGTATCCAATACATAGATATGAGAAATAGTGAAGAGTTTACTATGGCAAAATATAACGTTAGATATGACTTCAATATTAGGAAAATACATTTCTTTCATTATCAGAGTAATACGATGTTTAGAATAATCAGTCTTTAGAGTAATACTGCATTACCCATGATAGTTTATAGATCACGCTTTAAAGCTAACTTTTGTTTTTACCTTCATAATGATCTCACCTATCTTATAAAATATGATTTTAGTGTTTCATTTATTTTTCTCAACAATAGTTCTAAAACGCTTTTAAGGATAGCATTCTCAGAAAAACCTATTCAATACAAAACACATCATTTACAGTGGTGAGTTAATCGATCAGTAAAGAATTAATGATCAGTACCATCTAAATGCCAGTCATGTTGTTATGACTTTTTCACCTTCATGACTATATATCATGGGTATTTTAAGAAGTTACCTTCTTTAAATGTATATGCTATATTAACCAAAAATGTCCGGCAAATAATTTGCATAAGGCAACTTAGTATATTTTAACATGCTTAGAGAAATCCTAACAACAGTAACAACAACAAAACAAAACAAAAACACTCAAGTCTTTAAAATAAAAAAATATGCCAAAGATACAGCTAACTCAAGCAAAGTGATTCCTTCTGGCTCTCCACAACCTTCCCTCTACCCGCCCCCCCCACGCCCCCGCTTCCCAAAAGAACAGTTCCTTCTTGCCTTGGCTTGGTTTGCCTTTAGGTCCCTGGCTAAAGATTTAAAAATATGCGGTGGTCATTTAAAAAAAAAAAAAAATATATATATATATATATATATATATATATAGTAGAGTAGAAAATATGCAGTAGTCATTTTGAAAAGAAAGTATCATGCTTAACATGGGCTAGTGACTTGTTATGCATCATAAAAGCCTTTTAAAATGTAAAATTTAATGATCTGCTATATGATTGCAAAATTCTGCTCTTTAATAAGGAAAGAACTTTAAATTTCTGTAGTCAACCATAATGGCTTTTGCAGAACCGATATGGTCTGTTAAGCAGATAATGAATGTTGTCAAAATGTGTACTCAGAACAAGAAGGAGATTTCTGCAAATGGAATGGCTGCAAAATGCCTTAGTAAAAAAATATAAAAAATATGTTTGTCCTAATAGATTGTGGTGGTTCTGAAAATACAGTTATCCATCAAGTCAAAAATACCTTTAAGAGAGCATAAATATTTATTGCCCTTACAGAATGAGTTGGAAAAATTGCTACAATTACTATTAAGTAGGATGGGTTAGTTTTGAAATTTTAAGTATATAAATAAAAATGATATCACATTCTGTAACTGAGTGAAATGCAAGAGAATATTGCTAAGAGCACTGAAACTTGAATTCTGAATTCTCCAAATGGGATTTTGTGTCTAGTTCTACTGCTTAGTAGTTGTGAACGTGTCTTATAAACTACAAATCAGTGTGCCGGTATCAGCTATGGTTAAATATTGTTGGTCTGACTGGTAACGTAACAGGTAATCAGGACTGTCAAGAAATCACATTCCTGACACACTTGTTTACATCAAATGATCAGGCAAATGTGCCAGTTAATCATCTCACTTTTAAAAATTATTATTATTCCAGGTATTATTCTATTTCTTCTTACTTTTGCCAGAATTTACAGAATTGCTATGCAAATGATAAAAAAAAAACAAGCAAGTCTTGCAATGACTAAGAAAAAAATGTATAACAACTTATATTGGGTTCTGAATGTTCTTGCTCTTGTATGTCTGAATATTTCTCCCATGTAAATGCGGATAGGCAATGGTTCATTAAAGATTCTTATTTCTATCTCTTGCTGAAAAGATAAAATGGCACCTTCCTGCCTCCCAAAGCAAGCTACATTACTAGCGTGCTTTCAAGGATGCCTGGACACATTCTACAGACCGACATTATTTCCCGTGACCCTCAGCACATTCCAGATATCTGTGGCTCAGAGGCCAAATATGTTCCTCCCCTCTCTCTGTCCTGCAATATCCATTCTCCACTCTGCTACCCAAATCGTATCAGCACTGTATTATCTGTGCAGTTTTGAAATATTATTCCAAGCTACCAAGAAAATTATCTTTTTCTTAAATCCTATTATACTTATAATTTTAAGAAGAGCTTAGCACTTAGCATATGCTTATCATCTTTCCCCACATGTTCTTTGAGACTAAGGGCATGCCTCTTAAAAATGTTCATTTTTAATCTCTTATATGGTTTAACATTTCTAGGCTTATAGTAAATATTCAACAGATACTTTTAATTGATTACTGTTCCTGAGCAAAAGGTTAACTCTGGGGGTGACTGGATGGTTCAGTTGGTTAAGTCTGACTCTTGATTTGGGCTCAGGTCATGATCTTGGGGTCCTGGGATCGAGCCCCGTGTCAGGCTCCGTGCTCAGCATGGAGTCTGCTTGTCCTTCTCCCTCTGCTCCCCCCTCTGCTCTCTCTCTCTCCCTCAAATAAATAAATAAATAAGATCTTAAAAAAATAAAACAGGTTAACTCTGGCCAGGGTGCATACCTGAATATCCCAGAAAGGAGAAAACTCTAACAAGTATGTTTATTAGTGGAGAGCTAACCTTTAGTGCAATGGTCTTCAGGTATGATCCAATTTGTGATATTCTCAGAAACTACACGTCAGCATCATTTCCTTGGCTCTCTTACTATGGCAGAGAAAGACCCATTCTACCAGTTTGTGGAGGACTTGTTCTACTTAGAAATTCAATATGCATTTTCAAAAGCTCTTGCCTCTTAAAAAACCAGCCTCCTTATTTCCTAAAACTATCTGGAAGAAACTCAAGGGTAAGATTTACTCACAATAACATGGCGGTCAAAGATGCAATACTCACAGTTCAGACTACCTCACACGCAAAGTTCCCAACATCAAGAGTCTACTTATTTCTGGAAGGAGGTTTTCTGTTGCTATCAGAATAGCCAAATATAGCTTCATATTGACACTTATTTATTTATTTACTTATTTATTTTTAAAGATGTATTTATTTGAGAGAGCGAGAATGAGAGAGAGACAGTACATGGTGGGGGGGTCAGAGGGAGAAGCAGGCTCCTCGCAGAGCAGGGAGCCCGATGTGGGACTCGATCCCAGGACTCCGGGATCATGACCTGAGCCGAAGGGAGTCGCTTAACCAACTGAGCCACCCAGGCGCCCTCTTCATATTGACTTTTAAAAAACTAACTATATAGAAGAAACTATTTTCATGGCTTTTTTGTCTCTGAACTGTTTTTTTGAGAGAGGGGGAGAGAAAGAGAGACAGAGAGAATCGAGACAATCTTAAGCAGACTCCCCACCGAGCGCTGAGCCTGATGCGGGACTCCACCTCACGGCCCTGAGATCATGACCTGAGCCAAAATCAAGAGTCAGACGCTTAACTGGCTGAGCCACCCAGGCGCCCCATCTCTGAACTATTTGCAAGTGTGTTGAATTATCATGAGTACAGCTGTTGCAGCCTCGCTTCATTGGAAGGACTTACTGAACATCACCATTTTATTATCTAGATACAATGAGAAGTATTTCCTTTTAAGAAAAACACAGTAACTGAATGTAGTGAAATATTCTAGTCAGTCAAAAGAATGTCATGTGCGCAAACACAGCATTGCTCTCGATTTAAGTCATTCAGATAACAGAAAATGGATATTCTAACACCACAAAATGGGTTTCACCTCACCATTCCCTCCTCCTCCTGCACCAAAACATACCCTTTGGGGCAAAGCATTATTTTTTTTGGCTATGTAAGAAACTGGACGTTAGAATGAAGCTTCACGTGTGTTTCTCCACGCACTTCATCCTGGGTTGGCAGAGTCCTGACGACCCTACTGTGGGCAGAGCTGGGTCCCGGCAGCGAGGAGTGGTAATCCCTAAGGATAGATGGCTCCTTCCACGGACACCTATTCAGTTATCACATCTCTAAAATGGGAATAAGGATCATACTTACCTAAGTGACTTCATAATGCCGAGAATTGAGGAGAGTGCCAGCCTGTGGATGCAAGCATTATAGCTGAATCATAAGCTGTTCCAGAGGCGAGCATTGCACGGGGGCTGTGGATCCAAAATGCTTGAGACTGAAACCCGGATCCATCTCTTCCAGGCTGTGCAAACTTGAGCCAATGTTCCTTAAAATCTCCCAGTTTCAGTTACACAATTTAAGGGGGGCTAATCTTGACTACCACATACGGATGTGGCAATTAAAGGTGATCAATCTTTAAAAATTGTAACCGATATTGTCCGACAGTATAGG